CCCCAAAACCCCAAAACCCCAAAACCCCAAAACCCCTAATAAATTTACATAAATTGTAATTTTTAGTAAAATTTGCATGGATAATTCGAAAAAATCCCCCAGCTCCTCTTACAAAAAGTTCGAAGAGCGTTGCAAAGTGATTTTCAAGAGGTACAAGAAGCAAGATCTAAGGTATACCTCTTGACTACATTTAGGGAACTATGTGAGAAAATAAAGGTTAAGTACAGGAAGAGGACCGATTATAAATAGTCTCATGAGGATTATCACTGAAAATATTCTATCTGATTATAATTCTTGTAAGGTAGTTTCATAACTCTATAGACCTAATCATAAAAACTGAAATGAGTAGGCTTTGCATCTATTTCCAGCTATTTTGTTCTAATATTTGTAGAGAAATTCCCTGAGCATCCGAAGTATGATGAGAAGTAAGCCAATATTCTGATCCGTAGCACTGCTCCTGAGAGAGTCAAGAAAACAGACACCTCAATCGAAGAGGGTGAAGTCAGAGTTAAGGAAGAGAACAGCTTGAAATAACCTTAAAATCCCAAAGGAAGTCTTGAAGGACTCCACGAATATTACCAATGCCATGCGTACAGCACTTAAAGAGTCTCACCAAGACAAGGTTGATGCTAAAGCATTGGCACAAACGAAATCGGCTGATAATACAACTAAAGTATAGAATAAAAGTCTAATTTTATAGAAATCCAAATACGAAGAGGAAAAGAAAGAAGAAAATAATTTAGAGACTTCTCAAAAAGCCAAATAAAGCGAATGTCTTTCAAAAGTAAGGATTTGTACATTATAATTAGGAAAATTGAAGAGATTACCTACTCTGACTTAAAGAACTGTAAGAATAGCAAACTTCTTCTCGATCTTCATGACAGAAGAGATGAGAACTGTTTCCTTCCAGAAGACACTAAGCTCTTCAATGATCATGATAGAAGGTAAGGAATATTTCTTTGATCTTTAGGAACAAGAAAAATTCAAGATTTATTGACTGTACCTGAGCTGAGGATCAGAACAATTCTCAGTATATGAGATCAAAGGACACTTGTTATTACTGAATTTTGAAAAATATGAACCCATTCTCACTTCCAGTGTTAACCTTATGTGCTCCCTACAGAATGCCCAAAGCCAGGCCTAATACTCATGCAAAGAACCTAGTTGGGTTCGATGTGGCTGCTGATGTAATTGCTTTCTTGGAAGAGAGACCTAGAGTGAAGCATAAGTTTCAGAAATATCGTGCTGAGATCAGATGTATCCCTCTAAGCCAGGCTCCAGTGAAAGTGCAGTACCCTGCAATGACCTCACTCGGGTTAATAGGAACCAAGTTTCAAGTCAACCTAGTACCTGACTTGAAGAACAGGTCTAAGAAAAGAAGAGATAGAACTTACGATGTTACTGAGTATCTCAAAGAGGGAAGAAATTGGATCAATGCCACACAAGTCATGCAAGGAATCGAAGAAAGTAGCTTCTGCATAGCTATTTTCCTTACTAAATAGATTCATAATTAACGGCCAGATAGATTTAGATGGAGGAATCAGTCAATTTGAAGGTAATCTTTAGACATAGAACCGTAATTTATCTTAAAAATCTTTCCTTCTAATTAATTAAATCTGAAAAATATGACAAAAGTTTGATTTTGAGTATAGAATATGTGAAAACCCGAAGAATAATACCACTCAAGGATTCACTTCAGATGGTCAGAGAGAAACTAGGCATAAATACAAGACAAGATAATAGCGTTATAGATGAGGCATCACAAAATGAAATTGGAATGATCAATACTTTCAGTCTTAGTTTGCTCTGTCCTTTGACTTTATCCAAATAAAACTATCCCTGCTCGGGGTGAAAATTGTTCCCACTTGGAGACTTTCTGCTTAAGGAACTTTGTAGAAATTAACAAAAGATACCCTAAATTCTTATGCCCAATTTGAAAGAAGCCATGATTCGAGCCATATGCTGATCAGTTTCAGGAATATATTCTATCTCTATTATTAAAGAACGGTGTAACTGAAGAGCTCGAAAGAATATATATTCATAAAGACTTAAAAATTTATTCCGATGAAACTTTAGATAAAGAAGTTGCAGATTTAAATCTTCCTAAGGCATCTCAAGATGTTCCAAAACCATGCTTAGATATTTCTAAACAAACTCAAAAGAATGATATATCTATTCAAAATCCTCCTGAGTCATCTCCAAAATCTAAAAGTAAGTATAATTTCATACTTAGATTCCATATTTTATCAAAATTTACTTCTAAAATACAAAATTCCCAACTACAAATCTCAACTCTTACCTTCAAAAATAGCAGGTGAAGCCATTCCCGAGGTCAAAACTTCCATAAAACCACCCCAAAATCTAATTTGCCCAATTCCAATTCAAGATCACAAAGAACCCCAAAATCCTCCTATTTCTCTCATAAACCTCCTTCAAACTCAGCATCAACGCAAGCGTGACCTTAAATACCACTCCAAGATTCACTCTCACACCCACTCAAAGTCTCCAATAGACCTTTCAGCTAGTCCGAGTCCTGAAGTAATATCTCTGCTAGAGTCAGACTAAATTCCTGTTTAAAATTGAGTTTAAATTTCAGTCTCTTCTGAGTTAAACGGGGTTTTGGGGTTTTGGGGTTTTGGGGTTTTGGGG